AAATAATACGAATGCCATAGTGGCACATTCTGGGGAGGCCTGTTCTGAACCCCTACAATAGCCATAGAGTAATTTATCTTATCAGTTTGTTAGCACCAATAGAAATCTTTTTTTTTATATTCATGAAATTATCCCAGTCTTTTCTCCTAAATTTCCCTTCCTCTCACCCTGAAATCAGGACACTAGGTGGTTTCTGCTTGAATCTGTGCGTCCCAAATTGAAATACAAATAAACCCTTACTGCCTCCCGTTTGGCTTTTTAATTATAGGTTAAGATAATCTTAACTTTTTCCCAAAATATTCTAAGAATTAGTCTTAGATAACTTACTTGTATACAAATAAATAACAAAACGGCCAGAGCACATTTATCTAGAAGTTACAAAGGAAGACAACATTTTAAGAGCCTTTTAAACACGATAAGCATGAAAGAACAGGGTCAGCATGGCCAGCAAAGACCAGTGTATGATAAAATAAGCTGGACCATCCAAGCGGGGCCAGTAAGAAGGAAATCTTGGATAAAGAACTCCAGAATACTCTATTAATTTAATATCCCACAAATTATCACTGTTTTTAAAAAATTATAACTAATAGATTTACAGCATAATCCTCTGTGTAAACGTCATGCATATTAGCATATATTTTAATTCTACATAAAACTGTATAAGATTCTCATTTCACCAAGTAGAAATACAGCAAAGATTTCTGATACCTTAAAAAATGATGTTTAAAATCTGTCTAATGAAAAAAATAATTGGAAGCCTGAACCCAATTATTCAATCATTCAAACTTATTCACTGAGCACCTAGCCAGGAGGCATTCTGCTAGAGTTGGGGACCCAGCACAACAGAGGTATACAGACCTAACACACTGAGAAAATCACTGAAGCCAAGATTCTGCGTGGGCAACATCAGTTAAGGGGTTGGGACTTTGTTTCAAGAGGCTTGTTTTTGTCTAGTTTATACATTATAATAAAACCCAGCACACCAAGGTTTATAGTCCTTAGTTTATGTGCTTCCTTCTTAAGTAGAATGAAAGCTCCTTGAATAAAGTGATTGCCCTGTAGACCACTAGATACTCATGAGTGTTGCAAGATGCTTGTATCCAGGCAGGTGCTGACTGACTCTGGGTAAATGAATATATATCAATGCCAGTCAAACAGAGGAGATTTTTCTTTATGTTTGCAGGTTCCTGTGGTCTGTGTGATGGCTACCGGTTCTTCTCTAAGGATAATGAAGTAGCAGTTTATAATGTTACACAGGGCAACCATAGGAGATCCTGAAAATCAAATAAAGCAGCCAATGAGATGTCAGAGATATGATACAATGGGGTGGGGCTTAGACAGAAGAAGAGAGTATTTGAAGAGTATTGAAATTTGGGAAGAAAAGGACAGAGTGACAGGAAAGAGCAGGGACAACAGAACATCAGGTAGGAATTGGAAAACCATTTAGTTTTATGCTTTCATTGTCTGAATGAGAAGAAAATGTCTCCAGAGGTAAACTGACTTTTCAATGCCACATAAGACTTAGTTTATAGAGGCTGAATTAGAGAAAGATGAACAGAATGAAGGCTGGTAGCAAGGAGAGAAGTTGAAAGTCAGAAGTGCAGGGAAAATGAGAGGCTGAATCAGTGCCTAGAGTTTAGGAAAGGAGCACTTTTTTTTTTTTTGTGGTGGTTTGTTCGTAGAAGAAGGAAGTCAGAATAGAGGTATTGTAGAGTAGATTTATTTAAAACAGAAGCTAAAGACAAACTTTCCTGAGAAAGAAATAACATCTGTAACTGAAATGCCGTTTCTGCAAATTCCATTGCTAGCTGTTCTCCTCGCAGCTGGTGACAATGAATATGGTAAGAACTCTGGCAACTGCCTTGTTGGATGCAAAAGGGGTGTGTGTGTGTGTGTGTGTGTGTGTGTGTGTGTGTGTGTGTTTGTGTGGTGTGGTGACCTCGGAACATACCTGGAGAGGAGAATGTCAGCGTAGTTCTCAGTATCCCGTACTCTGGGACCCTGTGCCCTTCTGAAGGTTGTTTGTAAAGCCTGGGCCCTGGGCAGCTGAATGTCTGCTGAGGTAGCCATGGTTTCCCTTATCTCCAGATTCTGAGTGTTTCCTTCCTGGCACCTTTCTTCATTCTCTCTCCTTCCAGATGCCTTTTCTTCTCCTCATTCTCTGTGTTCTTTAGCCACAGACTTCCAGGAGGAGATCTCCTTCAAAATTATCCACAGCTCATCCTTCTACAACCATTCCTGGGTGAAAAGTAGGCACTCAGGTTGGCTGGGTGACTTGCAGACTCATGGCTGGGACACCAACTCTGGCAGTTTTATTTTCCTGCGTCCTTGGTCCAAGGGCAACTTGAGCAAGAAAGAGATAAAAGAACTGCAAGAGTTCAACCATGCACTCTTCATTGAATTGCGGATCGAACTTCAGAGACGTGCCAGTCAATGGCAGCTTAAATGTAAGTTCAATTCCCAAAATGGAGAGGTGCAATCTGCTGGGTGAGGGGTGTGCGTCTCAATGAGTTCCTTATTCCAATTTTCCCCTACATTCAATCTCTTCAGCATTCTCTGTCTGCACATTTATTGTAACCTATTGCATCATTCAGTCTGGGTTATTTACAACTCATACTACGTGCTTCCTTATTCTCTTGCTCTCAGCATTTATGTCTCCTTCTTTCAATAATTTGCTCACTTCTATTTTCAAAAAAAGGGAAGCATTCATTTTTTCCTCTACCTTCAACTACCACCAATTACACTTTTTCTGAACTTCTCATCAAACCAAAATTTGTTCCATTACCTCAAATCCCGCACACTTTATTTCCTTTTTTTTTGCTTCCAATAATTTCATCTTTACTCCCTTTCCTCTAATTTACAACCCTTCTTCCCTAGATCCCTTTGAGGTACAGCTAACAGCAGGCTGTGAGCTGCACCCTGGGGGAGCCATAGTAGCCTTCTATCGATTCGCTTATCAAGGATCAGAGATCATGCACTTCCAGAACAGTTCATGGTGGCCATCTGTACAGGATGAAATTAGAGCTCAGCTTATGAGCAGACGATTCAATCAGTATCATGTTGCCAACAAAATAATACAGAGGATTCTCAGTGACACCTGCCCACGTTTCCTCTTGAGTATTCTTGATGCAGGGAAGGCAGATCTCCAGAGACAAGGTCAGTCCCATATCCTTCCTCCAAGAATTTTCTAAAATTATACCTTCCCACCTTCCCTCTAAATTAAAGATAAGGAGTCAAGAGGGAGAAGGATAATGCGTGATGAATTCCCAGCATGGGATAGATGTGTCTGTCTAAGCTGATGTGAAGATATGAACCTCCAAGTCTGTGTTAGAGTCCTTATCTGAGTATCTCTCCTGTTCTCTGCAGTAAAACCAGAGGCCTGGCTGTCCACTGGCCCCAATCCTGGTCCTGACCGTCAGATGCTGGTTTGCCATGTCTCTGGCTTCCATCCAAAGCCAATTTGGGTAAAGTGGATGCGAGGTCAACAGGTACAACAGGGCACTCAACAAAGTGGTATCTTGCCCAATGCTGACGGGACATGGTACCTTCAGGTTTTCTTGGAGGTGGAAGCCACTGAGACATCTGGCCTGTATTGCCGGGTGAGACATAGCAGCCTAGGAGGCCAGGACATCCTCCTCTACTTGGGTAAGAAAAACTGGGGCCATCACTGGGAATAGGGGTAGATGGCCCACAAGCAGAGCAGGAGAGCCAAGTAAAAAAAATGGGATTTATGGACGCCAGACCCAAAAGAATGAAACTAGTTCAACAAATAAAAGAATTGAAAATGAGACCTGCAGAAGTAGGAAGATGTTGAGGGTTAGATGAAAGATTCATCTCTGAAGAGGGAAGAGAGAGGAAACAAGAACAAAGATTAGTGAGGCGAACACTATAACAAAACAGACAGACCAGGGATGCAGTAAACAGGGGGTGGATTGGCAATGACACCTTGTGTGCACCCAAACCCACAGAACATCCTCAGAACTCCGTGGGCTTGATCATCTTGGCAGTGATGGTGTCCCTGGTGCTTCTGACACCTCTTGCATTTTGGCTTAGGAAGCGCTGGTGAGTTTTTTCTGCCCATCTTTCCTGTTCTTTCATCCACTCCCTACTTGTCTTCCCACCTTTCTTCTCTCTCCTCTTAGACCTTCTTTCCTCAGTCCGTTTCCTTCTATTCTTCAATTCTCACCTCCACCTCACGCAGAGTAACTTTCATCTTTATTCTTATTAGGTCACATTGTGAGCCTCCTGCCAATCTTCTGCCTTTGAAATGAGATCCAGCAGCCCTGGGATTCCAGACATATTTAAATGCAGCACGGCGATAATGTCCGTTCAGCTCTCCATGTACACCTTCGGTTGCTTTATGTTATTTGTGTGTTTAATGGTTAGTTAGTAATATGAGCTAAAGGTAATTTTGCAGGACTTGCTTTCTGACCTGGCTCAGAGATAAAAAGTCATATTTTAACTCTGGATGAAATTAGATCCTAGCAACCGCTACATATTGAAAAACTGATGAATCTCAGGCCATTTCAGATGTCACATCTCTATGGGGGCTTTCCCTGATTCACAAGTGGAGGCAGCATCTGAACTCCCACCACACTTTTCAGTGGACGTTGCTGAATCTACTTCTCACTTTTTATCCGTTTTTATACTCATGTAGGCCCCTTTTCACCTTCTAATTTTTAAGCCTGAGAGCAAAGTCTATGTCTTTTTGAAATTCGTATCATTTACAAAGTGTATAACTGTATGTAATATGCTTTCAATAAAAGCCTGTGTTAAGTTTGCTTAGCTTTTACCACTAAGATCAGGTACCTGAATTTCTAGAGCAAGGAAGGAGAAAACAAGGAAGTAACAAGCGACAATATTATATATCCTGCTACTTAACACAAACGCATTTTTCTATCAATTTGTGAAAAAGAATATACTATTTAAAGTTAATTCAGCCTCGAGGTGTATGAAAAGAAAATTTGAGGCAATATCCATAAAAGTACACAGGAAAAAACTCAAGAAGGACAGACTTTATTTTAACATAAAAGTTCTATTTTCTTGTGAGGCAGCAACAAGTGTTCAGATACAGGGAATACATAAGTATATAGTAACAATATTTATCACCATTGGAAATGCTGTTCTTTTAGAGATAATTTTATTAGAAAAACAAAAATTTTAAAAATTGCATTTAAAAAAGGTTTAAACAGCTTCAACAGAGATGAAAGATACAAACTTTAAAAAAAATAAATTATATTCTTCAACAGGATTGCATAAACAACATATATTGTTCAGGGCTGCTCTGCCTATCATTAATTTAAGGCAGAGTAAAACTTAAACCTTAAAGTGCAGAGTTAAGTATTCTTAGTTTAATGCAAATTCAGCACTTCCACTGGTCCGGATACCTCCACTGGTCAATGCATCAAGGAATGAATCTTAAGTTTAGAATAGTATAGTAAATTCAGTAGTGGCAATTTTCCTGTTATTTCCTTAACAAAAGAAAATCTTGACAACTCAGTCCTAAACTTGGACATACCCCCAAGGCTACAAATTCTGCCATTTTTTTAATACCTTCGAGTAAAAGCCAACCATTGAAAAGAAAAAGCCTGTCTTGTTGCCAGTTATCCCACAGGTAGCAATAGCACCTTCTAAAATGTGGATTTGGCTTGTCATAAGTGTTAAGAAACATTTTACACAACAAGAAGAATCTAGAGTAAAAATAATTTTGGCATCCATGCTCATATTAATCAAAAAGGAAAAACAGATATTTTTAAAAACATAACTGCTCACACAGAAACATGACAAGCAACAGACTCAGTCATGATCAAAACCAGTAAATTCACATGTTTTTACCACAACCAATTCTTTAAGGGTAAAAAACAATAACTTAAGACTGATAAAGTAATTAACCACATAATAGCTCCTTTTGCCAAAATGTACATGCCACCTATTTCTTTTACTACAATGGAAACACATTTATTTAAAATTATAAAAAAATTAAATTATATTCCAATTGAAGTTATTCTAATTTACTGACTTCCTGTACAGTTTTCTATAGAATAACAATTGTAGAAAGTAATTTTAGAAAACCCTATTGAGACCCATTAAAAAAAATCAACCCCTTGTGAACTATGGGTTAAATAAAGTGGAATGGACCTTAGCATTTTTTCTAAACTGCGATAAAGCTCCCATGTTTAAAATTAGCCCTTTGGCGCTGGCAGTTAGAGTTGTTTTTAATTTTTACCTTTTTTTTCTTCTTCTTCAAATCTCAGGCTCTATCTCTCCCAAATCCAGGGGATATGCTTGGTTGCCATACAATTCATTTACCTACAAATTCACATTCTCCTTACAACCAGACATTACAAGTTCCATTTACAAGACTATGTAAATAATAAAGTTATCCCATTCCTATTTAAATTACTTTAGATTAAGGATATATGAAACTCTACAGAAAAATGCGAAACAGACCAACATGCACAACAGAGTAAAAGGAAAAACTTTACAAAGTGGCATTCTAACTGTAAAATACCCTTGTAAGTTGTAGGGATGGAGACACAAGAAAGTTAAGTGTGAGGCAAAGAAAAGAACACAGATTTAACAGAACTCAAGTCATCCAAAAACAGCTGTGTGCGTGATTTTTAACCTTGTCTTTAACTTCCTGTTCCTGCCTTTTACACTAACTCACCTGACCCTCACTTTTACCTTTCCTGTACTGCTGATAGAGCAGTTCTCTGTGGTGCAATGGTAAAGTCAAAGGCAAAGAATCAAAGTTCTTAGTAAACCAAACAGAACATTTAGATCCTATATAACTGACTTAGAAGCCACATGTACAAATTCCAAGTAAATTAATTTTAAACAAAAAAGGTACCAAAATTCATCAGTCTCACCAACTAACCTGACAGACTTATGTTTGAATTTATCTAACTTCCCTAAATACATCTTCATTTTAACTTTAACAGGGCATGCTTTTCATTACTTAGATATTTTAAAGTTGCATGAGTATATGAAGTCCTTTCAGAAGATGTATTGCTACCACTAGGTTTTCCTTGATGGGATATGTCTGGATAAACTGACATAGTTAACCCTTTAAACTGTCTCCTTTTACAAGTATTTAAATTTTTCTCCCTTTAATATGTATAAGAACATTACAGCATTGCATCATAAGGTAGTATATGAAGACCTCAGAAGGATGCTTGCTGCCAACACAGTTTGCTGGAACTCACTTTTTAAAAGAGCTGCTCCTTAATTTTACTACCACATTCCCACACATGAAATACTGCTGACACATGACACTGGCAGTAACTGTATTAGGATGAACCTAAATCCAAAACTGGATGGATTTTTCAAAGGTTCCTGTGGCTTATGCCCCAAAGCTCTCTTTGCCTGTTTCCCACTGTGTGGAATGTTGGACGGACAACTAGCAAAACCTGTAGGTAACAACATCTCAGTGCCAACTACATAAATAAACTGTCAGTCGCAAGATTCTGTGACTACGGATTGCTATTCAATGGATTAGGCTCCTGGCAAACTACTAACCCGGACCAAGTCCACAAGACAACAACATCACAAAAGCAAAGAAGGAAATCCATGCACCATCATTTTAGGATCTCTGGGACTATGATACAGTGATGATGAAAGGTAGGATACCTGTGGTAAAAGGAGATCATATGACAAATACTGTGCAGAAAACCAAAGGGGCTTATTACTCCTAGCTAGCAATCAACACTGCGCAGCTTCCTATTGGCTCATGTACTTTCAAACCAACTTCCAATGATGGGTGAGAACTTGTTAAGCACTCATCTCCAGACTACAATTTTTCTGAGCACATGGTGGAATGTACACAGGAGTAGTGAAGAGAACAGCAGTTTTACAAATATTTCACCCAAAGCACAAACTTCTGACATCAAAAAACATAAATCACATCATGTACTAATATTGCTTTTTATTTCTTTTTTTATATACTTGTTCAACGCATTTACTTATCAATTCTTGTTTGGGAGGAGAACACAGTCATGAGAATAAGATTGCTGGGAAAATGTCAACAATCCCTTTGGTCCCAAAGCTGAAAACAGCTGAGAAAAGCACACATTGAGAAAGGGAAACAAGAAACAGAGGCCACCAAAGACTCTTTTGAACATCTGTTTGCTACGTTTCAGAAAATGTCACATTGGTTTTATAAAATAGTCATTATCATATAAAAGATGGTTCTTGCAGCATCATTCACGTCTCCAGGAATCATTTGCAGGGGTCAGTGTTTTGTTGTGTTTTTATTTCTAACGAAGTTTAATTTGAAAACAAAACAACAACAACAAAAAAAGTGGTATCAGCCCACCAAAAGCAAAGAATGAGACCTTTCTGTTCCAACTGGCGCTTTAGGAGAAAGCAGGCTAAGCACTGAGGGCTGGCCTTTCAGCGAGCCGGCCACCAGAGGGTGTTCTTCCAGAAGCTGTGCTGGGAGTCACCCTGGAAGCCTGAGCAGGGCACAGCCAACTGAGCGCGAGCGCAAGGTGCCATCACAGTCAGGAGATCTGAGGGAGCAGTCGCTACGCAGCACTGGGACCTACCCTTCAGCCTCCTCAATTGGTTCGGGTGGTGTGAGTAGCGAGGCCGATGGCATGATTGTACTTGTTCCTCGGGAGACTCGGTCTTGCTCTGCAGACAGGGAGGCCATGGCGATGGGCTGCAGCAGAGTGGTCGTCATGCCAGTGGTGACCGTCAGGCTGTGGCCAGAGCCCTTGAGGGTAAGATCTGGCGTGGGAAGGAGTGGCTTGAGGATGCTGACGAGGCAGAAAGCAGAGCCGCTTTTAGGAATGAAATTCACCTTGTTTTTGTCAGGACAGTAAAAGGCTGGGATTTCATGAAGTTGTTTTGGCCTAGATATGGAACAGACAACCCAATGCATTTAAGTCATAGAACAGTGGAAATACATTCCTTTACTATTATTTTTTAAAAGCAGATAACAGGCACACATAAGGAACACAAAATTCAAGCTACGTCAAAAGCTTCAAATGTTATGGACCAAAGCGGATTAGACACATGATTCAGAATCTGTATTTCAGAACACCGGGAGGACACCATTCACCTTGCTGCTGTCAGTTCCCTGGCGAGCCCAGGGCACCATAAGCTTTCCCAGGCTGCCAAAAGGGTCCATAGCACAAAACAGGTAAAGAGCCCCTGTAAGAGGGCCTGAGAGATGTGATAAAATGGCTTGTAAAAGGCTTACAAGGAGCACAGGAAGTGACAACCAGTGCACAAAGGAGGAGAGAGAGTTTGGGGAGAAGCAACCTTCCAAAGGAAGTCACACCTGAGCTGGGTGGTAAAGAATGAATAAACAGGCCTTGGGAGTGGGTGCAAAAAGAAAGGAGTGTCAAGTGGACAACGCTTTGGGTGGCAGATTTTATCGATGAACAGTGAATACTGCCCGTGAACAGCTCTGACAAATGTAATAATTATGAATAAAGACATTACATGAGGGAGTGGGCTCATGAAGACAGGCCCCGCTCCAGCTGCCACCTCACTGGTCCTCTCCTGGCCTAAGCCTCCCCCTGAGGGCTCTGGCTGCAGAAGCCTGGGGCAGCGGGCCTTGGTTCCAGCCACTGTGTGACTCACCCCTCTGAGCCTCAGTTGTCTCAGCTATGAGATGGGTTGAACACCCCCTACCTCCCACCCTTGTTGTTGGGACTTAAGGAGATAAATCCCAGTGCCTGGCACACAGTAAGTGTTCAATAGATGGCAAGGCCCTCTCTCAGTGTGGGACCTATGGATATACTAGTCCCATGCCTCTCCTGGAAGGGTCTAGATCTGCTCTCTCCACCAGAAAAGTCATGAAATGTGGCTACTGAACACTGGAAATGTGGCCCGTCAGAATTGAGAAGTGTCATCAGTGTGAAATATATACCAGATTCTGGCAACCTGGTACCTAAAAGGAATGCAAAATAATGAATAACGTTTTACATTGACTACATGTTGAAATGACATATGTCTGGTACATTGGGTTACATGAAACATATTATTACATTTAAAAATTACATCATTTAAATTGTTTCTTAAATAAAATAGAAACTTAACTCATTGAGTACTTTTAGGCCCACAAATGTGTTTGGATAGCTGCTGTTAAGAGGACACACTCCTCTATTTTTACTATCTGAGAGTATGTTTTTCTTTTTCTTTTTTTAAATCCTCATTTGAGGATATTTTCCATTGATTTTTAGAGAGAGAGTGGAAGAGAGAGGGAAAGACAGGGAGGAATAGCAATATGAGAGAAACACATCAACTGGCTGCCTCCTGCATGCATGAGCCCTGACCAGGGCCAGGGCAGGGGAGGAGCCTGCAACCAAGGTACGTGCACTTAACCAGAACCGAATCCAGGACCCTTCAGTCCACAGGCCAACACTCTATCCACTGAACCAAATCGGGGAGGCTTAATTTTCTTTATTAAATATATATTTTTTTACTTTAGAGATGAAGGAAGAGGGAGAGACAGACAGAAACATCAATGATGAGAGAGAATCACTGATCAGCTGCCTCCTACATGCCCTCTACTGGGGATTGAGCCCACAAATCAGGTATGTGCCCTGACAGAGATCATAGGTCGATGTTCAACCACTGAACCACACCAGCTGGGCAAGTCCTAGGTTTTTAATTATTTAATTTGTTTGAGGCTATCTTCTTTTATTTTATTTTTTAAAATATATTTTACAGATTTTTTACAGAGAGGAAAGGAGAGGTTTAGAGAATTAGAAACATCGATGAGAGAGAAACATCGACCAGCTGCCTCCTGCACACCCCCTACTGGGGATGTGCCCGCAACCAAGGTACATGCACTTGACTGGAATCGCACCTGGGACCTTTCAGTCCACAGGCCGATGCTCTATCCACTTAGCCAAACCGGTTCAGGTAGAAGCTATCTTCTTTTAAAATTTAAATTTTATTTTTAAAAATTGCTTTTAGAGATGGGGTGGGTGAGAGATAGAGATAGAGATAGAGATAGAGAGAGAGAGAGAGGGAGGGAGGGAGGAGGAAGGAGAAAGAGAGAAAAAACATAGATGTGAGAAAGAAACACTGATTAGTTGCCTTGCACCCTGATCAGGGACTGTACCTGCAACCTGTATGTGCCTTGACCAGAACTGAACCACCACGGTTTTGGTATATGGCACGATGCTCCAACCAACTGAGCCACACTTTCCAGGGCTGAGTTTATCCTCTTAAAAATGACCTAAGACAAGCACGGGCTGGTATGACTGAGTTAGCTGTAGTGTCATCCTGTGTACCAGAATGTCACCGTTTCAATTACTATACAGGGCACATACCTAGTTGCTGATTAAACCCCCAATCAGGAGTGTGTGAACTATATATATTTTTTTTATTGATTTCAGAGAAGAAGAGAGAGAAACATCAATAATGAGAGAGAACCATTGATGAGCTGCTTCCTGCACGCGTCCCTCACCCCCCCACCCCCACTCCCAGGATCGAGCCCGCAACCCAGGAATGTGCCCTTGACCAGAATCAAACCTGGAACCCTTCAGTCTGCAGGCTGATGCTCTATTAACTGAGCCAAATCTGCTAGGGCCTGACTGATATTTTTTAATGAGAGAATCTAAAAAGTTTAATTTCCTGTTGCTTTCATAAAAACATTTATGAAAATATTTACACAAAATAATATAAACAGTAACTTTGTCTAACTAGCACCCAGATCAAGAAAACAGGACGTTAACAGTAAAAAGCACCAAAAAGCACCAAACCATCAAGAGGAATCATTCCTGACCTCTAACACTTAACTTCTAGAAACATATTACCTAAGAATCACACTACCAACCCCTGGGAGTGTATGACTTATACTTTTGGTAATAGAAGGTGTAAGTATTCATATTATACAAAACCTTTCTTCTCAACTCAAGAACCATAACTACCAAAAACAAAATCTCAGAAATAGTTTTAAAATTTTGTTTTTTCTTAAAAATTTATCATTTTTCCTTAAGAAGTTATCATTTTCAAAGACAAACCACATTTTAAGACACAGGCAAAGTCTCTTCAAATTTAAGAAGATAGAAATCATACCAAACATCTTATCAGATCACAATGGCATAAAATCAGAAATCAACTACAATAAAAACGATGAAAAAAATAAAACACTTGCAGGCTAAATAGCATGCTATTAAACAAGGATTGGGTTACCAAAGAGATCAAAGAAGAAAATGCATCCTGAAACAAATGACAATGAAAACATAACAATCCAAAATCTATGGGACACAGAGAAAGCAGTCCTGAGAGGGAAGTTCATAGCTCTACAAGCCTACCTCAAAAAAACAAGAAAAAATGGTAATAAATTATCTAACCTTGCAAATTAAAGAGTTAGAAAGAGAGCAACAAGAAAACCCCAGAGGAACCAGAAGGAAGGAAATAACAAGATCAGAGCAGAAATATATGACATAGAGACCAAAAATACAATACAAAAGATCAATGAAACCAAGAGCTGGTTCTTTGAAAGGATAAACAAGAATGATGAACGTCTAGCCAGGCTCACCAAGAAACAAAGAGAGAGGACCCAAATAAACAAAATCAGAAATGAGAGAGGTAAAGTAACAATCGACCCCAGAGACATACAAAGGATTGTAAAAAAATACTACGAACTACTCTACTCCAACAAACTGGACATCCTCGACGAAATGGACATATTCCTAGAAAAATACAACCTTCCAAAACTCAATCAGAAAGAATCAAAAAACCTGAATAGGCCAATAAGTACAGATGAAATTGAAACAAAAATCAAAAAGTTTCCAGCAAACAAAAGCCCTGAACCAATGGCTTCACAGTGGCATTTTACCAAACATTTAAGAAGAACTAAAAGCTATCCTCACACTATTCCAAAAAACTCAAGAGGAAGGCACACTTCCAAGCTCTTTCTATGAAGCCAGCATTACCCTAATCCCAAATCAGATGAAGACACTATAAAGAAAGAGAATTACAGGCCAATATTTCTGATGAACATACATGCTAAAATTAAAATCCTCAACAAAATTCTAGCAAACTGGATCCAGCATTACATTTGAAAGATCATACACCATGACCAAGTGGGATTTATTCCAGAGATGCAAGACTGGTATAATATCCGCAAATCAATAAACATGAAACATAATATAAAAAAATTGAGAGACAAAAATCACATCAATTGATGCAGAAAAGGCACCTGACCAAATCCAACACCCTTTTCTGATAAAAACTCTCAGCCAAGTGGGAATAGAGAGATCATACCTCAACATAATAAAAGCCTTATATGACAAACCTACAGCCAACATCATACTCAATGGGCAAAAACTAAAACCATTTCCCCTAAGAACAGGAAAAAGACAGGGATGACCTCTTTCACCACTCCTATTCGACACAGTACTGGAAGTGCTAGCCATAGTGATCAAACAAGAAAAAGATATAAAAGGCATCCAAATTGGAAAAGAGGACATAAAACTGTCATTCGCAGATGGCATGATATTGTACATCGAAAACCCTAAAGACTTCACCAAAAAGCTACTAGGCTTAATAAATGAATTCGGCAATGTAGCAGGATACAAAATTAACACCCAAAAATCTATGGTTTTTTTTATACACCAACTAGAGGCCTGGTGCACAAGATTATGCATGGATGGGGTCCCTCAGTCTGGCCAGCGATTGGGGTTGATAGGGGCCATCTTCCCTAGTCCGGAGGGATGGACCGCGGGAGGTTGTCTGGCTGCAGGGGATTGGCTGTGCGAGCATAATGACCACCCTGCCAGCCAGGGGAAGGGATCACGGGAGGTTGGCCGGCCGTGGGAGGTTGGCTGTGGAAGTAAACTGACCACCAGGGGCAGCTCCTGCAATGAGTGTCTGCCCCCTGGTGGTC